CAAAAGGAAAATCACCATTCACTGAGCATGATGCTAGAGGGTGCTACATCGCTTTTACGAAGTACACATAGTCATGAGGGCAAACCATGTTCAGGCCTGGCTTACGTTGAATGCAATAGTTATGTAAATTTGCTTCCTCACTTGCGGCGGTAGGTGTAAGAATGTGGAGGGATGAACACATCATGGAATTTAGAAGCAAAGCCAGCTAGGCCATAGGCGGAGGCCTATTCCAAATGTAAATGCACATGGATGGGGAGGATCTGGAATCATTGTCAAAGGTATGGTTGGCCAAACATACGTTTGTCTGAATTAATCTTGCCTTCCGGATAAACCTTAATAATATGCCGTTGAAGTAAGAATACTCATACTTGTTTGCTTAGTAGCCGAGACCTAGGATTATGTGGGATTCAGAAGATTTCGGCGAACGTGTATTATTTAATGACAATATGGAATCATTCTATAAAGAAGTTCTATACTGTACGTACGGCCTATAGGATTTGTGGCATGTGCATTGAGTGTCAAGTGCCGGCTGTACAGTTTCCTGAGTGAATTCTAACTCCTACAAAGTTGTTTTCTGTGTGTTTATTTCTTCCACTTTCCTTCTCAACTCCTATACTTGTTTTACACCATTCCCCTATCTGCCTATCAGCTCATGACCACTGATGTGACCACGCATATCATCTGATCATGGGTAATACTTATATGGATTACCATTTTCCCCCAAATGTTACAAAGAGGCAATGGATGGTTGGTTTAATTAAATTTTCCGCACTTAATGTAGGTATTCAAGACAGGCCTACTGTGTTTGTGTGACGTTAAGTGCATACTCTGCTGCTATTAAAATGTTATTATAATTCAACAGCTTTGACAGATACAACACGTTCCAGATGTGAACTGTTACAGAGGCCATGATGCCTCCACCAAAGATGCATGTGCCTACATGTAAAGATGACTACCAGGCATGCATGCCCTGCATGCACACCCCGATGTGCCATCTCCACACAGAAGAGGATCGAGTTCATTAATGATGACGTCATCTACTGAATGGATCTCCTTTCCACTCCAGACAGTATAATGGGAATTTGTGCCTTGCTTATATGTAAAAAAAAACTGCATGTAGAATGCACAAAAGGTAAACTGCGCAAATATATTCCGATTGATGAAGATCACATACTTCCCTGAAGCTGATGATTCAGATGAAAAAGGATTAAATAATAAAGGAATGGACTGTCATGTATATTTGTGTTTAGGTCAAACATTTCCTCAATTTGCGAGAGCTCAAACAGTTTACTGCTCTGCTTAATATGCATTTATCATAATTTTTGGAGGTGCAAGTGATAAGTGTAACTATGCCTCATTGTCCTTAAAGGTTCTGTGCAGAGGGCCACATTTATGATGTCTTTGACCAGTGTTACTGCCCCCTTTTTGCATTTTGAAGGATGTTCTCAATATTCAGATTTTGTGGCGGTTTTGATTTCTTTCGTAATTTCAACTGACTATGATGGTCACACATGACAAGCACGGTTGCACTCGGTTATTTAAGATTAATGGGAAAGATTTCGATACTACTTTCACTCAACACCCTGTGTACAAACTCTATGAGAATGGTCTGACAAATTCTCAGTATTTTGTTAAGAAATTGCTTAGATTTTCTTATATTTGCTCACATTGACTTTTATGACCTGTAATTACTTTCTAGAGGGTGTTAGTCACTTTAGAGGAAAATAAGTTAAAGTAGCATATGGAAATCAATTATACATTTCAAGTGTTCCTTTAGGCTGCATTTACATTTGTGTCACACCCTTTGTGGAATTGACATACAGTATAACTCGCAGGAATAGTCAGTTTTATTCCATTTTGTATTTATTTACAAACAATACAAATATTGCAATAAATAGTTAAAGGTTGGCAATTTCAGTGCCGAAGAATCCATGTAGGTTTGATTACTGTAATGCAAGCTTTTTGGTTTGGCCTAAGGGATTGTAATCATCTAAGCAAACAATGTAATTAATAATTTTATATACTGTCTTGTGTTACGGGAGATTAAAACAACTAATCGTGAACATGTGACATGTATTTTATACAATACAACAAAGCAAACAATATGTTTGCAACAATAAAAGATGCATTTTAGTCACATGCTCCTGACGTCATTACGTTATTCATATGATTTACTAAATTTTTACAACTTTTATTCATATCTCATGCCACCACAGACATAAATCACGCATAGGCCTCCGAGTCCTATTGTATTACGCACATTGTTGCACATTTCGTGATTGCACGGCACTCGACTAAAGTCCAAACGGGAAGTGTGATGTCAACAAATTTGCCAATTTTTTTTTCCAATCACGTGCGACTGGCAACCCATGCACTGCGTTTGTGCTGACACCATGAAAGTGTTCTGCTGCCCTCTAGCGTCCGTCCGATAATTAAAGTTGTTAGTCTTTTGCACTTTTTGTTTATAACTAATGAACAATTGAAACTTGGGACACAAGTATTTTAGAAAGAGGTTTAGCCAAAGTTGCAGTCATGTGTTGATGACGTCATCGCATGATTTTATATGATTTAATCGATCTTTGGATTTTGTATTTATATCTCAAGAACAGAAAATTGTAGACACGAAAATTCTTTTGACAAGTAAAACACCAATGTGTAGTAATACTCAAAATCTGAAGTAATGATTCCATTTCTTATGAAACTCGAACTCTGACCTTGAATACAGAGCTTTCCACTTAAAAGCTAAACAGCTCTGTATTTGCCCACAAACACATATCTCGTTTTCTTTTCCTTTTTACTCCATTTGATCTTACGTTCATTTATTACGTACTAATTATGTACTATTATTTTATTCATTACTTGCCATTCTTACATTGTTAGGACATGACAAACAAAAGGCACCTGTTCATATCCTACTGCAATGAAAGTGGCACAAATTGGTTTTCGAGTGTTTGTATTCAATGTGTGATCTTTGGTTTTACAGAAGTAAAACAGATGAAATAAACAGTATTTGGAAGCTGAATATCCCAGGTTAAACATTATACAAGCACCAGAATCCAATATGCAATATTTCAAGGACACAGGGCCCCTTTCTCTGCTTGCTGCATTTTTTGGGGGGAGACACCCTGTATGTCACCCCCATGCAAACCCTTCATTATAATATGTACATGTATGAATACCCATCGCAGTACCCACCGCAATGTACATCATAATCGGACCGGCCAGCTGACACCATTAGCTAGGTGGTCGAGTGGTTTAGACTTCTGCACTAGTAAGCTGGAGGTTGTGGGTTCAAGTCTCACCCAAGTGAATTTTCCAGCTTTCACTCAGGTGGTAAAGCATACAGTAGGTGGTAAAGCATACAGTGCGTGTTAATTCACGTCAGTGAAGAGCAAAAAAGTAATATTGATGTATATTACCCCGATGCAAAACATTCATTATTCTGAATAGTTAATCCTTGTCTAAAAGCGGCTGCATGCACATAGTGTACGGAATTGATGAGACGTTACCAGTACATTCAGTGGATCTTGGACCACGTCTCAGCCTCTGTGCAAACTATCCTATTTACAAAATAAAGAACTTACAGTATTTTATAAGACACTGTAACTACAACACCATTTGAAGGTTGAATACAAGCCGTTTTTCTCTCATTGGTTGCCATCCAACATCACAAAACTTTGACAAGGGTTAGTGGAGCAATATTCCTTTAAAATATATCTACATGTACTAGCCCTCAATAAAATACATATTAGCCCTCTGAAAATATTTGACTAGTCATGTATCGGTACACTTCATTTATAATGTAAAACAGACTCCGTGTTTATAACTGTAAGGGAAAATGTGGAACTACTTGTGACAGGATTTTCAATAAGAGAATAAATATGGTATGTGGTTTGCCATTCGTAATCACTATATTTAAGACCAGGCTGGAGTCTGGATGTTGATAATGACCCAAGCCTAAGGGTCATCAGTGGGAACATGAATGTGAATGCGAACCAGACCTAATGGTCATTATCAATCCAGGGGGTTGTGCAACAAGAAAGAGAAACCCAGTTTGCAATTGTTTACACAAAACTGTACTTTCTCAATGACAATAATAGTAAAGAGTAATAGTGTTTAGTGTCCCCGCCCGCTTCCTTTTTTGTGCCCTCCATTCTTTTTCAAGTTATAAAACAAAGAAAACTACCAGTACAACGCTTTTCCAAAGATTGGGAGGAAAAGATCAGCTCTTAAAAAGCTGATACCAGCCTATCCTGATTCCAAGTGGGGCCCATTTAAACAAAAAAGCTGGCGGTCATCTTGAAAAAGAGGCCCGACGGGTGTGGTTAAAAAAAACCTCCTCCCTTTTTTCAAGAGACGAAGGACACTAAACTTTTTTTTTACTTTTCCTGATACAACACTGCTTTGTAAAAATATTTTTAGTTCAAGCTGAAATTGATGAACTTCAACAACGAAAGTTACTTTGTTACTTTGATAATTTAGAGAGAATTTGTATCTGGACATTAAACAGTTGATGCAAATGATGCCAGTGTGTGTCAAACGATAAACATTTTAGCAGACGGTAATTTTTGCATCATTTTTTAGTAATGGCCAACAACAAAATAATTTGTTGATAAGTCTTTGATGGGTGTAAATTATGCATCAATCAAAAATTATTTTACAGAATTATTCTCTTACCCAAATTCGCATTAACTTCATAACCCACTTGCTTTCAGGCAACAATTAAGCTTCTTCGATTAATGAAAACATACTTTCCAAAGTTGTGCCGTTATTCAGCACATGAGGACGTATTAAACAACTTTGTCCTCGTTTAGGGGCCACCTTTGTTGCCAGCCAGTATTAAACACTTCTACCTCCAGCTGTGTCTTTATCAATCGTTTACATGTAATATTGGGCATGTGATGGGCTCTGGACCAATAGGAACGGGGAAACTGTCTTGGGCATTTATGAGTAAAAACACACTTTTATTTTCCCTACTGATCTTTTTTTGTAATTCACAGGAAAAGGGCTATTTGCAGAAAAGCCCTTTTTCCCAGGGGAATTCATTGTTGAGTACCGTGGGAATCTTTTGATCGGAAGTGAAGGAGAGAAGCTTTCTAACCAAGACTACATTTTTTACTTCATCCACAAAGACAAGAGGATGTGGTAAGTACTGGTACATGTATAATAGGTTTCAATTAAGGCCTAAAAAAAGTTGTATTGACTAACCCGATCTGCCCTAAAAAAAATTGCTGACCCTAGCGATTTTATGGCTTTTTCTAAAAAAACAAAGTAACTGACCGCCCCTAATAATTATCACCGACCTTAGAATTTTTTTTGGCTTCTGTTTTTGTTTTTATGTGTTTATGCGTACTAAAAATGACTGCACTGCATTAGATTGGAAATAAAAAAATAGCAACCAATGACCCATTTCGTCAATCCAACAATTTTTTTTTGGGGGGGGGCCTAAGGCTGGAACCCTTCATTTACATTCACCAACAGATGCATCATGTTTAATCCCCATCTTATCCAGTACCGTGCTTAATCTACCTTATACATACACTCAATGTATGAGTTGATCTAGACGTCGTTTTGCATTTAATGTGAGCAGTACTATAGTGCCAGTATATGACCAAGTACCCCCACTCAGCCAAAACCTAACAGTTGACTGCCTGTTGGAGTTTGTTGGGCTGTGTACTAGTCCAGCGAGTTGCGTGCATACATGTATAACCGATGGAGCAGCTAAAGGGTGTTGGAATTTGATGGGTTCAGTCAGCCTTCTAATAAAAAATGAGGTGATTAGGGTTAATATGATTAGGGATAAATTCTCCAAATAGAAAAGAAACAACTTTTCTGGACCGTGATTTAAAACCTGAAATATCTCATGTCTCTTAATATATCCTTTTGTGAATTTTTACAGTATTGATGCAACATCTGGAGACTTCAGAGGGAGATTAATCAATGATGACTGGATACGTCCTAATGCCAAAGTGCAAAAGATAGTCGTTAATGAAAAGCCACACTTAATCATCGTAGCCAATTCCTCTATCAGAAAAGGTGATGAGATACGATACAACTACGGGCAGAGCAACTTGCCTTGGCGTAAACAGGTTCGTATAATGCATGTAAACATAATACAGGAGAAAGGCTTGAAAACTTTGGTTTTTAAAATTGAGGTGGCACAATATTATAACCCAAATTTAATTAGTTAAATTGTAGTAAACACCACGCAGTGGATTGTCAACTCTATCGACCCTAATCCCGTAGACCCCTGTTGCTGGAGGTTGACCCCCTGGTGGCAGGCTTCCGGAACTCTAGGATAGGAAATATCACATGTGAAGCTGCAAACAGTTTCAATGACTTTTCACTTGTTTGGAGCTCAAGACTGACTAAAATAGTCTTCGTATTAATTTATCAAACAAATTATAAATCACTCAAGTGGAAAGCGTAATAACGTAAACAAAGTCTGACATCTCACTTCCGGCATTTCTAAACTACATGCAGTAAAAATGTGCCTGTTGGGCGATGCAATATTTTCCACGTGTACTGCAAACGTGGGTCTCGTTGCAGTATCGGCTGAAGTACGTTCCATCATGTCTATAACCTATCCCCCAAAAGGTGGAATGTTGCAGGCAGGTCTACATTCTTGTTCTCATGCACGAGGGCAATGCATAAAGAATAGGCCAAGCCAGCGATTGACATGGGGACAAGTGAAAAGTTACAAAAGAAATTTCCCCATTTTATCAGTTCTTCCCCACTATAAAATAGCAAGATTAAATTCTTACAGGCATGCAACTTTTCCGCGGTTCTGCGGTTTTTGAAAATTCTGTCCACACATAAAAAAAGTCTGTGTTTTGGGCATGTTTCTGTCTGCGATGCGACGCCAGTTCCGCATTTTTAGTACAAGCGAGTGCGCCAGCCGCGCAAAAGCCAGAAAAACATCGTCCGGCTCCGTGTTTTGTGCACGCATTAAGTGCATTAAAAAGTGCAGAACACATACTTAGCACCGTACGTGCAAGCGCTCTCTGTCAACGACAAGCTAATAGACTGGTGCCACATTTTTTCCTGACATTAATAAACACACTGTTACATGGATGCTATACCACGATGCGATGCCATGCCGCAAACGTTGAAAAACATCAACGTGCATCGAGAATGTCAATCACACATGTGTCAAAATATCAACATCGAACGCAAATAGGGACAAAATATCAAAAGCATTGATAAAGGCATAAAATGCTTGGAAGTGGAGCTGGAAAAAAGTGGATGATGAAGTTCCTCTAGCCGAAGGTGTCCGAAAACTGGATAGGCCAGACGTGGCACTTGGTATGCAAAAAGAAATAGATTTCTGTGACAGTAATATGGATGTGGACCCATAATCATGTAATGCTGACCGATCACTGCAAAGTATCAAAAAGCTACGAAAAACAAATTACTGCCTCCAAAGTAAGATACAGATTTTTTTTAATAAAAAATATATATTGATTAAACTGTGTATACAAATTTTTAGTAATTTTTTAGATTGATTTTCTTCTTGATCTTCTTGTGATTGCTGAGTTTTTAATATAAAGTATGTTGTAAAATGTTTGAAATATTCACACAAATTTCACTTCAACTGCCAAAACATGCTTAAGCATGCACCACAGAGCATGTAAAAGTCAAAATTTTTGCCGAATTGACTTCGCACTGCGTGCTCACAATTTGGTTGACCTATGCAAAAATATTTTCCTCTTTTTTTCAAATTGAAGAGTTGCATGCCTGTTCTTATGATTCTATTTTGTGGGATCTGAAAGTTTGTATTTACGTCTGTCAAAAATAATAGACAGTAGATTTTCAACCCTGTAAAATCACCGTAGTGTCACTGCACGAGGGTTCCAGAAGCTCGCTGTTTGACCTTTTACTTGAACGCTCTGTACTGCAAGGAGGATTCAGGAAGATTGTGTTGGGTTTACATGGTTAACCCTTTAGTCCCTGATGCGCCTGAAACCGCCCGGCCTATTACTCACTGTTGCGCCCGAAACCGCTCCAAAATCGCACGTCTTTTTATCAGGCTGTATTGCATAGAACCATATGAATAGCGCCCTCTATATTCATATTGGCATGTAGCTGGGGAGTTCTTCTTTTATTGAAGAAAAAAAAACACTGCCGTTGCTATTGAAAAAATGTAGTTATGACCTTTTGAAGAAGTTGAAACTCCCTAGCTCCTCAACGCGCATGTGTACTCACAGCACTCGCTGTATGAAGACGTTAGTTGGACACTGATCATGCCGGTTCCGACACCGAAATTACAAGAAGAATTGCAAGAAATCGATCAATTGGATTCCAATACTGAAGATTTAGAGGCTTTGGAGTGATACTGAAGTGTCACAGGTAGTAACTGTAATGTTTAGTTGGACATTTTACCAGTATAATGAAAGTCTCGAACTCCCCACAGTCACAAGGATGAGCCTGTCGTTTTTACAATGCATGCTAATAACACCTCATTAGGCGTACATTGTGCTGCTAATTCTTCGCCGTAATTTTCAAATTTGATTCATTTACGTGTCAAGAATTATGGTGAAGTGCCCACACATAATTAATATAATTGTATGCATCTCATTTCGTCAACTATTCTATGCAACATGGACAGAGTGATACTCCTTTCAAGTGCAAAGTATACTTTTTCCCTATATTTGAGTGATTTTTCAATTTTGAAAGGTCAAAGGCCAGCGATATGACGACGTACACCCAAAAACAGTTATTGACAGGAAAGGGGAATTCATACTGTACAAGATTAAAAACAACTTGCCACACACAAAAATGAACAGAAAGAGCAGTATTTTTTATTTATTTGGGGTTGGTGTATTTTTCACATTTCTCTCCAGTGAGTAATCAGCCATAAAGTGACAGTATGTACATGAAAGTGCTAATGGGTTAAAAACCCAAACCATTTGCGTTCAAAAGACCTGTCTCTCTTGAAATACAATTCATGCTCAATCCTCAATAATTCTGCAAAACTATCAGGAGGATTTTGGAGAGTGGGTCATGATAAGGCTTGAAAGCACTAAGGTGATCAGCACAAGACACTGCTAAACTACATGTAGCACAAAATCATCACAAGACCTTCGGTCTTAATTCAAGTATCAAGCTATCAAAAATAAACTGTAATGAAGACATCCCTTAGTATTGGTTTATGCCTGTAGCTTGTGCCTGAAACAAACTGGTCTTGTGCATGGTCTCAACTTCATCAACACTGTTGTTTTTACTTGTGTCACTACCACAGAACAAGCAGCGACAGAAAAACAAGGTACGGCCAGCAAAGACCATTATTGTGCCAGCTGAGACCATCCTGCTGGATCAGACGACCATGCCTGCTGAGACAACAGTGCCAGCTGAGTTGACCATGCCGGTTGAGATGACCATGCTGACTGAGGTGACCATGCCAGCTGAGTCGACAGTGCCGGCTGAGGCGACTATGCCGGCTGAGACAACAGTGCCGACTGAGCTAACCATGCCCGTTGAGACGACCATGCTGACTGAAGTGACCATGCCAGCTGAGTCGACAGTGCTGGCTGATACAAGAGTGCCGACTGAGACAACAGTGCCGACTGAGCTGACCATGCCGGTTGAGACGACCATGCTGACTGAGGTGACCGTGTCAACTGAGATGACCGTGCCAGTTGAGGCAACTGTGCTGGAGACAGTGCCGGCTGAGACAACCATATTGGGTGAGACGACCATGTCGCCTAAGGCGACCCTGCCAGCTGAAACGACTGTGCCAGCTGAGACGACCCTGCACGCCGAGTCGACGGTGCGGGCTGTAGCGACCCTTCCAGCTCGGGCGACCCTGCCAGCTCAGACAACCCATCCTAGACAAATGGTAAGAGTATTGTAATTCACGTTTAGTAATGTTGACAGCCGTGTACATTCAGAAATGCAGAGGGATTTTCGCTATAGCTATTGGTGGCAAGCCTTTTACATGGATGTGTTTAACCCATTGGTGACAGAAAGCATTTTTGATGACGTACCACTTTGCGGTAATAAGCATAGAGCGCCCGTGCGGCACGGCAGCATAGATTGTGAGTGCACCCTGACTCGATATACATGTACACATACAATATACGTGTACGTACGGTAACACATGTATGCATATAGCTAACAGACATGCACATGTACCATGTGTGAGCAGAGCTGCATAATCCCATTCACTGAATATTGCTGAGCAAAGAGCCTATTCAGTCAATAACAATGGGGTTTTTGGCTCACAAAGAGGGCAGAAGATTCGCCAAACTTTGCCCTGCTATCAAAAACCCGTGCTATCAAACTAACCCTGTAAAACAGCGTATATACAGGAAGCGCGGGATGTGATGCAAGCGGGTGTATTGCCTGTTCATTCCATCATATGACGTCTCCCTGCACTTAAGGGGTTAAACAGTTGTTTAAACATGGCTGGAGGCTTCTTAATCATAGTTGAAGGGTGTTTGAACACAGAGGCACAGGAGTACGTTCTCAGTCATAAGGCTAGTATGTACAGTACCACTCACCGTAAACAAATCACGATCCGCGGTAAGCAATAAACATCAGTTGATGAGTTGATTTTATGACAAAAACAACGCAGTGTGCGTCTCCAGTTAGTTCGCGATGACTTCCTTTTACTGATCTTGAATTCAGTTTCTAGCGGCTTTCAGTTTCAGAGTGAAATTGTTGGATAAAAGTTCAGATTTGAAGAGCTATATCACATGTACATTTTTTTTTTAATCGATGGTGGTTGAACATGGTGGGTGTTCCATTGTAAGGCCGAAAAATGGTTTTGCTCCCGATTAGGCCTATGATGGTCGCAATTTTTTCAGGACTTTTATGGTGATTTACGAAAGCTTATGGCCACAAAAAAGTGAATAAAACCTACCTTAATATTTGTCTGTATATTACATGTACGTTCGATAAATAATGAAACATTCATGTTGTATGCACCATTATGCATAACACTTGTCAAAATGGGAAACTGGTCAAAACTCCTTGCATGATGCGCTATTCATGCACTATTCATAACAGACCTCGTTTAACGTTAGAAATATAATGGGGAAAGCAGGCTTCAATTACAAGAAGTGCGATATGAAGTTGAATTCTGAAACACCAAAACTACATACACGGACAAGAGAGATAAAGCTCTGGGAGTTAACCTGCAAAAGCCTACCATGTAGGTATTTTTACGATGTCGAATCTGACCAGTTGATAGCATAGAGCGGCCTGCCTAGGCCGAGCCATGTGAACAGCCATGCACTGACTGGTAACCGCATTTTCATATAAAATGTGCGGCGCGGCGCGGCGCCGGGAACCAGTCATCACTGCATTGAGTTAGCCTGATAATACACACGTAGTTATTATTGAAGTTGTTATCGCGATTCGGCCGGCAAAGCAAATTTGTAAAACAATGGAGGTTTCTTTTGAACAATTAGCGCATGTAAGTTAGAAAACAAATAAATACAAGCATTTCTTTATGAAAAAGGGTTGCTGAGAGTTTTTTGGTGAAGACAGAAAGACAGCAATATATTTTATATTTATAGTTATCATATTTTTTGGGGGGGGAGGCGGGGAAATTGACAATAAATATGTAAGGCTCGTGACTTTAAAAATAGAGTCAGTCAGGTAACCGGAAAATAATTTTTCGGCCGAATTACCCAAACATTTTTTTATTGCTTGGTTAGCAAACCCGCCGCTCCCGAAAATTGACAAAAAAATAAAATTTATTTTTGCCCTTACCGCACCCGCCTCTGTCAAAATCTTGGAAATTTAAATAAAATAAAAAGTTTTTTCCGACTTTTTTTACTTACCACTAAACTTTAGTAAAGTTTTTTCAAAACTAATTTTTTGGCCTTCCTTTCATCCCATTTTGTCAGCTGGATGTTACCGGAAACAGAAATATTATTTATTTCGGCCCTATCATTTATTGCCTAAGTGAACACTAGTAAAACAAAACAGGAAGAAACTTGTCAGATAAATAAATTTATATTAGGGGCATTCTTTTTACTGGAAACGCTTATATGGAAAATTAAACAGAAACCAAATTATGTTTTAAACAAAGTACATGTAATTTATGCCTAATTTTATATAAAACTAGTCAAAGTTGCCCTGTGAACTGGTTATTAAGACAGAAGATAACCATGAAAACAAATGGTATCAGCAAGTGGACTATCATTTCAATTTACTCCGTTTTTGTACTTAAATGGTACGTTTATTTTAAGGAGAGCGATTTGCTCTCCTGGGAAATTTGAGGAGAGCAATTTATAGCTCTCCTTGATTTTCTAGAAATGAAGGACTGGTGTACAGAGCTTGATGGATTTAAGTAAAGAGTGTTTGGGTGTACTGAGACGTTGCTGTCGGTCGGCCTGCCAGTCGGTTGTCTCCTCAAGTCAATGAGGATTTGCCGCTGCCGATTGGGCTATCTACGTACGGGTACGTAATGGTGCTTCCAGTTTTTTCTTCGGTGATGCAATAATCTCTTTATCTTATCATCATAATAGACTATTTTCATTTCATCATTTACTTCATCTAGACAACTAGCCCCAATGTTTAGAAGTATTAATGAAGTCACCGGGATATTTATTGGGGAAAATGATATATCATGTTTTTCAGACATGAACTTGTGTAGAGCATGGAGGATGGAAAAGATTTCTTAATAGACGAGTTAGGGTTAGAGACCAAGAGGCAAATAAATTCACCTAGGGCAAAAAAATTACCTGTCCTCTCTAATTTATTCTTGGGTAGAGCTTTGTTGATTGACGCAGACCCTCAATTGTAATATAATGTATATCTTTTTTGGAGATTACGGCCAGAGGAAGTTATGAGTTTGCCGCCTTTGCCTCATGAAGTCTTGTAGAACTGGGTTTCGGGATTGGAAGGTGATCTCCTGTCATTGAAAACATGTGCAGCTATAGGGTGTTACGTTCACTGACGACGGCATGCTCTATGAATGAAACCAATGACAGTGAAGACTTCTAAAACTGGAAATCGGCATTGGACGATAATCTGGTTGCTGGGGTGGCTGGTGGATAATTTGGCGGTGCTCTGGACGAAGTCGCAGCTTAAAAATCAATGGCAATGAAGAATTTTTGAAACCAGCTTTGTAATTGGACAACAAGGTTGGTTTGACGCTTACATTATAGGGCGGGGGAATGGGACGGTGTATGGTTTTGGCTGAAATACAATGCTCGTCTGTAAAGTCCACGTTTTGTGGGAATAGGGTAATTTTGGTAATTTCCTTTTAATACAATGTTACCATCGTTTGTTTGAGATGACTAGTAGTACACTCAAATTGCATTTGATGAAAATGCACGTCTTCTGTTCAGTCAGTTAAATTTGCAAGCAAAACCCCACTCACTCCATGCATACATTGCTTGACGGCAACCTTCAAAGCGCTTCTGGGCTACGCGGTCGTTCCAATTGGAGCCACTTTATCAGCACAAGTCAGTTGACAAAGCTTTTAAGCTCAGATAAGAAGCGGCCTCCATCCGCCATAAAACACGCCACTGCTCGACCATTCAAGGTAAACATCACAACATGCACCATGGCACTCAATCGCGTAAAGACTTGGTACCTAATTCCAGAGTCTTTTATGGTCTAAATCATTCTTAAGCAGAGGACGTTCACTGTGCATATTCACGATGGGATTAATTGTCCCCGGTCGGGGCATATTAACGGTGAGCGGTACTGTATGCGAAATAATTATCATTCTCAAATAGTTCTGAGTTTTTCTGATCAGAACACCCCATTGTTTGGTTAAAGGTCGGCCACTTTGTTTTGTTTTCTTGTCGATTATCATACAAGGTTTACTCTTACGTACTTTTGTGACTTTATTTATTATGTATGTACATAATAATTGCATGGAAAACATCATCAAACTTTTTTTGATAAAAATTCATTGCCGTGAACATGAACAAGAGCATGTGGCCTATGCGTTCCAGCCATGTCCCAGGGACCTTGTAATAAGGAGAGTGGACTGTATTTGTACATTAGTTTGTGACAAGTTTGACAAGTGATGGTTGATTTATTTCAAACAACATTAGAAATGTCAGAATGTGCTGTGTGCATTGTGCCCAGCAGCCATAAAAAGTTACATGTGCAGGAAGTAATATTTGTGTCTTAAGTGGAAAATATATATTACATCTGCTCTGGGTGCCAAAAATTCTTCTGATAATCAGTTTTGCCTCTAAATTCTTGTTAATTTTAGCTTAGGACACTGATGGAGAAGAGATGTCAAACAGAACCCCACCAACATCAGAGGTTTCTTTCATTACATGAAATAAGACTTCAAAACACCTTTCATGTCCACCAATTTTTGTTACTTCATGCCTGTGCCAAGTTCAATAAAGAACATACTGGACTATGATTAACACTCAAATACACATTAAAATTTTGTGTAGGTCTACATGCACAATGTCAATGGTAGACTATAACTTATGTTTTTTTACCAACTCATTGACTCTTCGCTGAAGTGGATACTGGTACAGTGTACCTTTTTTGTTTTATAATACATGTACATGTACATGTATTGGCAACTATATAGTTGCATAAGTCCACCATGCCCACTTAAGACTAGCTATTGTTTTGTTCCTTTTTTGTCCAAAAATTGGAACATTAATGCTTTATATTTTAAGTACCCAGGATGTTGACATGTGGCTAAATATCGATTTGGGCAGAAATATTCCTACACTGTATACATGTATGTACATGTTGCCCTGTTGCAAGTTGATACCCATAATTCAGTTTAAACATGCAGGTGCAATTTGGGCTTTTTTTGGTTATGTCTTATTTTCATTTCAGGGAGGAACATACACATCACTGGTTTCATCTGGTCTAAACAGACGCCAACGTGTGAGTTTGTATTAAATGTAAAATATGGATATGGTTTTAAACGGTTTGAAACCAATGTATTAATGCACGCATGTTTTATTTGGATGTTTTCATGATTCTGATATTTGGTTGTTTGGTATTCAGGATAGATTGAAGGTCTTTGCCAATACAAACGGCTTCCTGTATGGGTCAACAATTGATGAACTGACTACTCACGTAGTTTTGTGTGCAGGTAAATGTTGGAATTCCTATATTTCTCTTGAATATCACTTTGGATTGCATTTGGTATTCATAATGTATGTATATTTAACATGTAGAGCTACATTCTTGCTTGATCTGAGAAAAAGTAATTCAACAGGGGTTTGATTTCAAGTAAAAATCAATAAGACAGCTGGGCTAGTAACATACATGTAGCATGCCACTAGACCTCAAAGTAGTTCACAAGACCTATGGTAAAACTAGAGCTGCTATGCCTTTCTGCAACAGGACATGGGGATTTTCCGCATTTCTATCAATTTCTTTGTCCCCTTTGACTGTCTCTTGGTATTTAAACATTTGTTTCTTGTCTTCTTGTCATTAGCCTCTGTATAAGTGTTGGCCTCAAGACGAAATATCAGGCCACTCTAACTTTTTGAATTAAATATTATACTCGTTAGTGCCCTCAAACTGTCAGGGTTTATGCTAATTAGGGTTTGTGTTCAAAGTCAGTGGGGTTTTAAATATTAAAAATTTAATAATAAATCACGAGAGTAGCAAGTACTCACAGAACTTCACAAATTTTGAGTAATTTTGAAAAAATCATAAAAAGTCAACCGATTGTCATCTACTTACCCACCAAGTTTCATGACAATCGAACATTGTCTAATGTTTGTTTTAAAAAATGGCACTTTTAATGACGTCATCGATGATCATGAGTCGTGCATTTTTCCACATTTTGTGCGCATGCATGTGCGTATTGGGTATTACAAAAGGAATTTTGAATTCATCATATTTCATTAGTGAGACAGTGTAAAAGTAACCAAAATTTCAAAATTACATAGGAAATTGCACGATGTTGTCGTGATGATGTTACCTCAATTTTTATCTATAACACATCCCAGTCCAACCACATACCAAGTTTCAATCCAATCGAAGTGACCGTTTTGTAGATATATGCTTTGAAAAATGCATACATCTACGCTTTGAGAACTGTCACTGTGCCAACTTTGAATGATGTACATTGTACAACAAAGTTTAATGGCAAAAGTGGAACCTAGAAAGAACATGTACACTGTCATTAAGAAGAAAAAAACAAAATGTGAACAAAAAGGAAGGCTTTTCCACAACATCCGGAAAAGCCAAGAAAATTATGCACAATGGGCTATTGTGAAAAACGGGTTTTTGCCTTAATGGTGGTGACGTTTCAGCCTGGGATGTTCATTTTTCTCCACACCAAAGATGGTGCACTAAAGCATGTCTCTATACATATACATGTACATGTACCAAGTTTTGAATTTCGAAAAGGTTTATGGTGCTGAAAAATGCATTCTTCTGATGCAGGTCTTGTTTTGGCCCAGTTGCAATTACCCCAACCCTCAATCAGGTGCCAGGTGCATTGATGTGTACAACAGGGTATTGTGCAGTCACACCCTTTTTGCCCACTTAAACCCCAAATTTCCTGATGAAAACAATAAATACTGGTTTCACACAGTGCTCTTATTACCCGGGTACATAATTACCCGGGTAGTTGTCCACACCCGCGTAAAAAATAACCCGGAGAATTGGTTTCACACAACATGCTTAACTCCGCAATTCATCTTACCCGCTTTGGTGCGTACCCAGGTAAATGATCGGCAGCTTTCACACAGCGATTGCAAACGCGAAACCGGAGAATAGCATCGCTTGACCTTTGCCCTCCCACAATGCATTGCACTCAGTCACTTGGAATTGCACTTCACCAAATACGTGCCCATAGAAAACAGTGCAAAATCGGACCAAAGTAGTGCTGCCTGTTGACTCTCGTGCAGAGGTTGGCGTCCGTTTTTTTCACTGGAAATTCAAGATTATGGCCAGAAGATCACTTTTCGTTTTAATTTTATGGAAGTTAGCCATGAAATTTGTTTTTATTTGCCTTTGAACGAAGATACCCCCAAATAGCAGTAAAACTAAGCGCTCATTTCTGAATGTAACCTCCTGCCGCTATCCAAAATAGGTCCACAATTTGGGGCTTTTTGTGAAAGAAATGCCCCGAACTGGCAACTATCAGTCCCAAATTCAGGATTTATTGAAATATTTCTATGCTGCCTCCTGATTATGGCCTATCTTATTGTAAAAATTCCGTGGGATCACAGAATATTAATGAGCTTGCGTGCAGAAATGCAAGGATTTGGTGGAATGCACCCGATATATCATGTACACATTATCGTTGCGGTCAAGACTGGTGCCCTGCAATTTATTGTGCGGTAAACAAATAACACAAATTACCAGACGGACGTAAACCCGCTGCAAAAGGGTACCTGCTATGGAAGATAGTTACGTCATTGCATCCCAATTGGCGCGTTGAGACATAACATCATGCCGTGCAGCGTTATATGATCTTTAGTGCAGATCAGAGAGTACGCAGACAGCTCGACAAACCAGGGGCGAACATACCCAGGTTGGATTATTAGGCGAGCGTTCACACATTCAAAGTCAACCCGGAGAATCGTATCAAGGCCGTTGTTAACCCCGAGATTGGTGGGTTAACCCACCTCCAGAGCAGGGTTAGAAATTACCCAGTTTAAATGTTTTGAGGCAGTTAACCTGGAGAATATCTAACTCCGAGAAGAGTTGTGCGAACGCTCCAAGATACCCGGGTGATCTTGGGGTTAATTTTTTCGTTCGACATTACCCAGGTAAGAGCACTGTGTGAAACCGGTAGAAGTCAGTCTTTGCCACTGTTTATTGATATCATTGTGGCAAAATAAAAAGCTTACAAGGCAACTTTGTTCTTCAAATGTGAAAATGTCTTTTACATGTACATGTATACATGTACTTAACAATTGTCTCAACAGAACAAAAATAAGAGTTTTTACTAGTGAAGGTGCAGTTCCAATTTGTATTTTCCTTTTGCAGACTTTGTTAGGGAGAGGTTAGAAATTACTGTTTTTAAATTCACGCCCACAAAGTGGGCATTCCAGAAATTGAGACATTTCGTTTTGCTGCATTTAGGAAAACAAAAGGACTTTTAGTGATGTGGCATTTACCCGATGTGTGAAAAAGATCACCAGACCACCAGACTAGTTTCCTGAAAAATTTTGAAGACTGACATTCAAACCACTTGACTCGGTCCAGTCCAGTGGATATTTCGATTCCTGATTAAGATCTGGCATTTTATTGCAACTGTTACTTACAACCAAAATAGAACTGCAGGTTGTGTTCCCATTTGATAAAAACCAGTAATGATCCACTTTAAAAAAGTTGTATTTTGGAAACAATTGAAGGATATCATCACCAAAACCTCAGAAAATTCGACGAGTTAGACAAATGAACCACCAAACCTGTGAGGATTCTTTCGAATTGCATGCAACCACGTAGGGGACCAAGGGCCACTAAAGCCATCGATCACTTATGAAGTTGTCTGTGAGCTGAACCTTTACTGAAATTAGTTGTTGATTTTGTGCATCATACCACAACTTAAAATCCATTTTGATGAAAGGCAAACCAATGTACCAATGTAAAGCTTGTCCAAACAGTGGGAAACTCGTTTACTGTATATGTCAGTTAGTGGTGAGAATTTGTATGGATCGATCAGCCACACTGGAAACATACATACACCTGTGTCAAATACATTTGTTTTTGGCGAGCTGTGAAGCAGATGCAAGCCTATGTAATACTGATGTCCGTCCCACTGTCCGTCCGTCCGTCGGGCTGTCGGGGCCGTATGTCCGTCCATCCAGCCGTCTGCTTTTTCTTTAAAGTTTTTCTTTGAAGTTTGGGGTTATGGTTAATTGGGGATGTTTGTATGGGTGGGGATGGGCATGGGTAGGGGTGGTGTGGGGGTGGCAATGGCAATGATGATGGTTAAGGAAGGGGGTGGTGTTGGAGGGTGTGGGGGTGTATCAGTTTGTTTCTGCATTCAATTGGGGACCCTGAACAATAGAGGACATAAAGGTCCCCGATTGACTCTAAAACACATATGGACTGCCTAATTTGGTCAATAGTGGACGTATATGCATCCTTCGGGCCTGTGACCAGAAGAGGGTCACTCTTCTGGTCACTCACAGTCCCTCAGGTTGCATATACGTCCACTATTAACCTCATTGCCAGTCCATATTTGTATAATATACCATCACTACTCAATTCCGTCCATCAGCTTCATACCAATTGACCTGTCGCTGTTTATAAAAAGTAGCCAATCACATCGCATATTTTGCATTACCTGACTTTACAAATTTAAGACAAAGAAACACTACAATGTGCAAAACCCACATTACAAATGCAGTGTAGTTTTGAAACTGACAGTGAACATATAACTTGTACACATGTACAGGTTCACACAACTGCATGCACTTGTCCTGTGCTACATTGTCTCTGCCTGTTAATCTAATTTTTGCAAATCCATGAAAAGATGTTGTATTCCGTGACGTATTTTCACAATAATTTGGGGAGCACCGAATTTTCGTTGAGATGGAAACACTAATCATTTAGGGAAACTGACTAGGTGCTATTAAATCAATTTGAACATGGAAAAGAAAATTGACAGGAGCAGGAATCAAACCTGCGGCCTGTGGATTACTGTATTGGTGCTCTTCCTACTGAGCTATCCAGCCCTATGCTGGTGGTGTTCCCTGTGCTGGGTCAATTTTTCTTTGCACAGGTAGGGTGTTGGAGCCATAAAAGTTGGGCTGTCATATACACTGTACATGTAGCCAGGGATCATGCCCCAAATGCACAAAACAAACAACCTGGGAAGTGATCACCCAAAGGGGATACCACATTTGATACAAATGTTCCGGGGGAAAACATTTACACTGATTTTCACTAATTTTGAAGTTGTAGACATGCTATTCCTTTGAAAAAGAATTCCTTATCATTCTGTTTTTGTCTAAAGGATATTGCTTGGAGAGATTGGTGAAAAATCACCTGGTAAATCGGTCAGAGGCATAGTATCAGTATGCACCATACCACATACTGTCATCAATTTGCAGGTCTTAATTTTTAAAACAAAATATATATACGTATGAACGTACACATTCTCCACGTACACAGCAAATCAGCTGAAGATGTCTTAGAAATCTGACAACCTAGCCAAACCATTTACACCTATTGGACCTTAGTTCATACATGTACATGTATTTGAGCACCACCGTGTCTGCGCTGCAGGTACTTTGCATTTTGCCCACATGTCACGCGCTCCCAAGACATCTTTTATGCTGTTTGTATCAAGAAGTCGAAGGGGCAAGGTTATCTCTCAGAGATAATGTAGTTCAATAGCACAGGGTTAAGAAGCAATATTTATGCTGTTTTTATCAAGCAAGATCATAGTAAATTTCAGCAATACACTATTTGGTGGTACTGGGGTATCTCAAAAAGAATGTATGCATTTATTCACGTACTTGTACACTTACTTACACTTACATGCGTGCACATATCACCTTGTGCCCTTCTACTTATGACCACCCTTACTATCTGACGGTTTCGTCCCATCAACTGTAGATATGTAATGCATGTATGGTTGATGGTTGGAGACTAACGTCAATAACTAGTACACACATACATACATGTATGGACTGGCATTGAGTTCAATAGTGGATGTATATGCAACCCGAGGGACTGTGAGTGACCAGAAGAGGGTCCTATTTCCCGAGGCTGAATATTGACCGAATTAGGCAGTCCATATGTGTTTTAGAACACACCTCACTCCAAAACAAAGGAATTTTCACATACGTCCGTCGCCATGTTGAGCCAGCTGGATGAATGATAATACAAGCTCTAGAGGGCGCACTTTGGACTATTCGATATTTTGACGTCATCCCATGGACTATAGCAATGTTTTACGTCATCTCACGCGCTAGCCCATTTTAGTGACTCACACGTGACAGCTTTTTAGCCAATCGGAACAAAGAAGCAAGAGGTGTGTTCTAAGTAAAAGTATGTTCAAAGTATGATGCCATATTTGGTACTGCTGGTGGAACAGTTCGGCAGTTTTATGTTGTTAAGTTGGATCAGAGCAGTGTTGTAGTTGAGACCATCACAAAACCAAACAGGCACAAGACCAGTCATAAAACCAGTCACAAGACCAGTCACAAGACAAATCACAAGCATTAGGCACAACAATGACAGAGAAATGCCTTTGTTGCAGTTCATTTGAACAGATTGTACATGTAGGGGTGGGCATTTACATTTTTTTTAGGAACCGGGTACCCTGGTACCCGTATTTTTGTTTACGTTTTTTAAATCGCAGTTCTGGCAGCAGACCCAGACCGTATTCTGGAAAGAGAGGCCTTTTTTCAACACATGAAACAACATTCTAATGGTGGTTTTCTGAACGGCACTTAAATCATGGATGAATTTGGGACTGTTACTGTTACAGCAATTTTATATTCATCATGCTCACATTTTGTACTTATGCATGTTATTTCTAATAATTTAAATACCCTTACAGGTACCTGGTACCAAAAATGGAACCGGGTTTTAACATCGGAGGGCGGGTACCCAGGTATCTGGCCCATCCCTAATAGATTGTGACTTGAATTGAGACTGCTTGACTTGTGATGGTCTCATTGGTCTTGTGTTGTCTCGGATCCAACACTGGATCAGAGTAAACTGTTTATAAATGGAAATTTGTTTTTGTTATTTCTATGGTGTAGATGGCGACCTGGTATGCCCCAGGACATTAAAATATCTCATGGGCCTTGCAGCTGGTTTATTTATCGTCAGTTATCAATGTAAGTAATGTTACTGTTAATGATTTAAACAATTTGCTTAGCTGCAGTACCCGCCACTGTATCAGATTTGAACCAGCCAACAGACTCCGACCAGCTCAGTTGATCGATTGTTAAGACACCAGAATGTAGGAGGTTCTGGGTTTGAGTCCCACCCAAGTGATTTCCAAATGATCTCTCAAAACAACATTCACGAAGAGCAAAACCAAATATCGAATGAAAACAGTTTGTATGTTTTTCTTTAATGATGCTTCTTTACTTAGAGCTGAATACCTGAAAGTGTTGGTTTACATTGTACATTTAGTCTCAACACATGTATCGGGTAGTTCGAATTAACAGTGTGATATGTACTTCACAGCAGCAATATTGTTACATTGTATTTCTTTTGGTTTTTTTAAACAATTTGATTTAACTTTAAATATTGTAAATTAACAGCATATTTCTTACAGAAACTAACATGCAGTTTCTTGTGGATACATGTATGCTTATGAAGTACATGTAGGCCTACATGTTGCATCATAGCAAAATTTTCTGGAAATGGAAAATTACACACATAGACTGAACTATTGCAATTGGCATGAGAGACATCTAAGTGAGCTTAGGCAATGCCAAACTTGAAATCGCTTCTCTTTATTCCACTTTTTTTGCGGAATCAATTCTCTGATATAGCAAATTTAAATTTCCCAAGTGTTCATTCCAGTCTTCCTACAAAGTTGAAGACTGACTACTTCTGGCACATCTTCAAAAAAGTTTCATTCTTTAAAGGAAGAACCCTAAACACTTCAGAAGCATGCCAGTGCATCATCAGCGACAAACTGATGAAAATCTGTGATGAAACCGTCCTTTGACAGCCCCACAGGATATTAAACATCACAAAGTCAGATATGTGTATTTTGTTTTTAGACCACAGAAGAGCTTGTGCTGCTTATTTTTTTCCTATCATGCGTCAAAAACCTGTGTAGTCAAATCCTGTACTTGGCAATCTGCCAACTAGTTATGAGGAATCGCTGCCAATTTTCGGAAGCAAATCCACATATATAATGTATACCAGGTGAAAAAAAAATCATTGCTATAGAAGCACTTAAACAGTTAAAAAAAATTAGGAATTAACAGAAAATGTAGAAAATAGAAAATTGACCTTTGGTTGAGCATGCACTGACTGAAAGACCATGCCATCATTTGATTGGCAAGTTTGTCTAATTATGTTTTGATAATATTGGTTAAATGAACATTATCTTTCAAAATGTTATCAGCTGAAGAAAATGACAGGGAAAATCCAAATATCATTTCCTGTAAATTTTGTTGCTACAAATGTTTCAACTGTTAACCGGTGTGAAATCTCATCTTTTCAGCTGATTTCAGCATTTTTTTGATTTGCATTTCAGCTTTTTTCCCCTCAGTTGTGTAGAAAGTATAGGCGATTTCTGCAGTTCAGCTTTTTCATGCCTCGCTCAGCTGTTTTCATCATTGATCACTCACACCCCTGTTTTAAGCTACCCCTGTAGTTCAAAAGCTTTAGAGCATAGGCTCACATGCTTCAAAGCGATGCATCCATTTTTTGAATGGCAATGCACTGGCAGTGCTCAGGTACTTCATGGGCATTTGGGAATGCAGTGGTACATGTATATTCATTTATCAGCGATCAAAGCAACAATTATTGGGCTGCAAAATGTTGATCTTACCGGTACCATGAAGCTTAGACACACCAAAATATAGCAACTACGTGTATGTCAGCATAACCTTCTGACTGTTCTCAATTGTTGTCTGTTGATAGGTGAACTCTGAGTTTGATTTTGCCTGTTTTCCGTTGGAAAAAAAATTCAAAAATTATTATTTTATAGTTTATTTTTATGTTCCCTGCCCAAATGCAATACTCATGTAAATATTAAATGATAAAGTACATTCTATAAATACAAAACACTGTTTGTAGCCCCTTGTTGGCATTTTTCATGCTTGTTAAATTACTGTTATTTTATGAATTGATTAAGATAGAATCGGAATAGATTTCAGAAATGTTGGATTCGCCTAAGGCTACAATGAAGTGAGGCTCTTTGTAGCTGGTAACATATTGTTTTAGTTTGGATTCTGGAATTGGCTATAACAACTAGAATAGAGCTTTCTTGAATAATAGCAAATATTGGAATATTCGATTATCAACTGAAATTTGAATATATGATCAGTAACCAAATATTAAAGTAACTTCTTTCCTGGCTTAAAATATTTCGAAAAAATACATGTAGGTACACCTGATGCTCTTGCTATTGAAAAGTTATGGGAAAGGGTCAAATGCCACATTTTTGTGGGAGGAGATACAGTGTATATTCCAGAATCCTGGAAAGTTAAAACCTGGAGTTTGGTTCTTGTTATCAGAATGTCACCTAATAAAGAGGGTAAAGGGCTTTTAAATTATGGTGACAGGGTGCACTATATATGCACACAAGGGGGTTAAAGACTTCTACACAGAACTTTTTCTTTTTCTTAATGTTCTGGGTTAATCAAGACTTGTGTTTTAAAACTGATATCACAGTCACTAGGCTAGAAAGCCACCTTAAAGAGAGCATTATGGAGGAAGTTGGCAGACACTAATAATGCCCACCTTTCCATGTCACCTCGTGGCATCTAAGTGTTTTCCAAATTACTATTGTTCACAGGGATTGAGGCATGCCTGCAATCAAACGAACTACTTCCAGAGGAGACATTTGAAATACGAGGTGATGATACATGTAGCGATACATGTACCTTCAAAAACCATCGTAGTGGCCCACGAAGATCCCGTTTGCGACAAAAGCCCTTGTTGTGTGACATGACCTTTGTTTACCTGGATGCATTGCCTGGAATAAACAAAGGTATGGTGAACAGAAAAGTATTTCAAACTTCACAATTTGGTACCAGAGAAGTGCGTTAAAACAGAAGTTGTAAACATTGATAGAAATACTTGATATTTTAGTAACTGGGTCATTACACTGTGTTCAATATGCCCATATATTTGTATTTATACCATCTTTTCATGTCAGTAATTTCATATGATATCCATCTTTGGGTATGAGATTAATTAAAAAAAAATTCAATAATGATAGTTGAATTTCAGCAAAAATGTGATAAAAAGTGTGTTAATTGGATGTAATAGAGACAAAACATGAACACTGTGTTTAGAATGCCAAGTTTTTGTGTTTTTTCTTGACACTTCAATTAATAAATACAGTAAAATTTTGATACCTCAAATCTCTGGGGAACGGGACAAAAATTAGAGTTATCCGAAATTCGTGTTAGGAGAAGGTCCCGATTTCTGTTGCACTGGAGTCATAATTACGATGTACATCACAACATACTTGTACACTTGCGCACGGTCTCTGTAAAGCTCCCTATGATGACTTTTTGAAATGAAACTCTGGTTATTTTGTTCTTAGATCCTACAAGTTTTTGCTCATAGAAATGGTCATTTTTACAGAGGATTTTTGTTTTCAATTGGTTGATAAATAAAACCTACAAGTAAAAGTAAGCCTAAGCCTACATGTACATCAGTCAAACTCTGTACCTTTGTGTACATGTGGCAAATCTTATTTCTTCGCATTGTGTGCACATGACCTGTTGTGCGCTGGACCTATTTCTAATTCTGTAGCACAATGCAGCACCTTGCAAATGTGTGGATTGCATGCGCACTAGGGTGGCCGGATTTCCAGATGTCCGATGACTTTTTTCATCACAATGAAGGCGCACTTCAAGTCAGATTTTGCAGTCATGGGGCTGGTGGTTTATGTGTGTTCAGTCAATCATCATTTGTAGCGTGCTTGCTATTGTTCCGACGTGAAGAGACAAATTGTGCATGTCAGAAATGACTTTTAACTTAAGACCTGCGTTCTGTTTACACTTTTTGGTGGTGGTTTCTTTGTATTTTCCACACAAAAACTTTGAGGAAAGCGAATGCAGCGGAGTGGGCAGTTCGAGTTACTTAGGCCTGGGTGTTTTTGTACATAAAGGCCTATTCGCTCCACTGGACAGGGTGGCATGGAAGGCTGGAGTCAGGTGTTGCCTATCCCAGTGACAACCGCAGCACCCTAAATACTAAAACTAGACATGATGATGAATATTTTCCCTTTTAGGTACTGATGTTTTCACAGCCTAGAATGACAGTTGGCAAATTTACCTTTGAGTTTTGTGCCTGTTCAAATGCTAAAATGTTATTTCATTGCACTTGTTCACCCTGTGGTGTGCGTGGCGCATGTAGTCTGCAAACCTTGTTCGTACGCTCACACAGTTCATGTCACGTGCATGTCATTTCAAGCATACTTTTAAATGGCAAAACACCATTTATGCCTTGCACAAAATGTGATCCATTACAATCATTGCAGTAAGAATTTTCTTTGGAGTGCACCTGCTGCACTCGTAGACTTCAACAAGGTAATTTTTGTAGAGGTAGTACTATACCTAGTGCTATATGTATGTATACATGTGTAAATCCAATCATTGGTACTTTTGATGAATTCTCCATACGTTTTCTTCACCAAGGTCATGGGAATTTGGACAGGTACATGTAAATGCATGTGTATCAAACAAATGAAGTGTCGAGTCACTTGTGGCAGTGGGTTCATTCCTGATTCCCTGACATTTGGCAACTCAATGAAAACCATAACTTTTTGAGCTGTTTTATTCACATGAAATGAGAACACTTCAAAAGTTTGTTTAGGTACTTACGTATTTTTGAACATGATGGAAAAACTGCATGCACCGATGTACTTCAAGCAAAAGCAATGTGCTTCCACGTACATGCACTATGTTCAAACATTTAAATGCCCATGGATTTTTTGTTTAAACATTTAGCAAATTAAACGTAAAGCCGCACCCCAATCCCCTTTCCTTCCAGTACCCTGTCATGATACTAATGCATGAACATACTTTCCCAATTCTTGTGATACTTGGTATTATGATGCTTTGTGTTTCTTATTGATATTTTACCACATTGCATTACCCAATCCCAGAGATTATACCTTATTTTTACTTGCAAGATCCACTTTGCCAGGACCGAAAGGTTTCCTTTGGTTTTTCCTGTTGTTCTTCCTGTTGTGTAAGAGGCAAAACAGCAATTGCGTTATGTCCCTTAATCACTGTAACCAGCTCAGAGTTTGTGAGTAGGCGTTACATACGCCCTTTGGACCTGAGAACAGAACAATGGAGATCCACAAGATGCAGGAAGTCTGAATGCTTTGTGGACTTGCACACGTCCACAGAACGTTTTGCAGTTTCTGATAGAGGGTGAAGGAGGGAAAATCGGGTAGGGTCATCGTCGTAAAATAAAGAGAATGACTTCAAGGGACCATATTCCCAATTTCAGCTCAAAAGACTGTTCCCACTTTGAGAAATGTGGATTTTAACCTTAACTTCACAAATTCAAAGAAATGTCCACAGGATGTATGTAATGTTGGGAGGTGTGAGTTTGGGTGTGTTAGTTACGCATCCTCAGGTGGATGGAGATCCGGGCAGTCAATAAGAATATGCTGTGCATTCTCAGTGCACCACGTTGGCAGGACACCAATTGGATGGATGTAAACCCCAGCTATGCATGGCTGCCAAGTCTTGAAGTATGATGCCAATCGGGTCATGTCTGCTGAAAGTATGTCCTCTTCGTTGTTCAATGATTTATCACAAAAAAAGTGTGAAGTCATCCGCTTAGCCATACTGGTGTGATGTTGTTTTGAGGATGTCAGTGATGTGTAGGTTAAAGTGCACAGGAGAAAGTAGGCCGTACTGAAGGTGACTCAATCTGCTGGTCTGTCCGTCGCCAGTCTTGAGGACGAAGCTTTGGTTCGCAAGGGTGTTGCAAATGAAATGCTGGTTTTTCCCACTCTTCAGTTGGCCCATGGCTGATTCTAGCTCATCTGAAAAGAATGGTGGAGACAGTAATCCATCCACACCTGGAGCTTTCCATAAACTGGTGGTTTCTTGTTTCACTGATTGGGTGTGGTTCTTGTCTGCATTAAACTGACCATTTGAGAAAAGTTGTTCAGTGATTAAGTTGGCTGTTACGGGGCATTTTTAGGCTTAGTGCAGCTGCCTGTTAGACGTTTTCCAAGCAGTCTTGCTTGAGTGATTGAAATCTATTCCTTGAACTGTTTCCTCCCAGGCAGTCTGTCAGATCCATTGCCTTTGTGGATGCATCGTCCCCCTAATCTGCATTCTGGAACTCCTCTTAAGCGTATCTTCTTTTTTGCATCCCAAGTTGGGATGTAAAGTGGACGAAAGCCTCGTGGAATGAGTTTTTTGCTGCTTTCACAAGAAGTTTGCAGAAAGCTGCATAGGCATCATCAAGGTTGACTGGGTCTGGTGTAGAGATTCTTGATTTGTTTTCTGCCACTTTAGCAAACTGTTCCCAGTTTGGCCTTGCGGAAGTTTAGGTTTGGTTGGTGTTGATTTGAATGGGTTGCCTGAAATGAGTTTTAACTTTTTAATTTTCTATTTATTGCAAAATATATCATATCGCAGCTGGGAGGCTGAATTGCATGATATTTACATTTTTTGTAAAAATACAAACGTACAATTATTAAAAACATAAAGACACAATTTAAAAAAGCTGAAAATTATATACAATTTCACCAAATCCAAAACCTATTTAAACATTTAAAATCCCTCATAGTATTAGCATAAGAAAGGGAACAGAACAAAGGAAACAAAATAGTCATGTGAATTACAAAACATTTTCATTCCACGAAAGGGACTCCACAAATTACACAAAGACATGTTAAATTCTATATTCTATTCCTAACCTTTAGGCATAATTGTACTTTTTTAGAGGCCTTGTCAAATGTGGTATTACATTATTATTATATTACTTTTATTATATCTCTTAAGCCTGGCTTTTATTTCTTGCAAAGATCTTTTATTTCTCAGGGACATGCTATGAATACTTTTATTGCTTTGAAACCAACAACTAAGACGCTCTGAATTCATACAGGATTTGGCAAACGAAGAGTTCCTCTCTCCCGCAGGTTAAGTTTGATATGTTACATTCTAATAATGCCTTATCAGAATCACAATATCTGGAACCCCCCCCAAAAAATAATTTACATGCTCGTTTTTGTACTGACTCGATCGAGGTTGACAACTTGTGTAGAAGATTTGAATGCCATTTGGGAGCCACATATTCAAGTACAATTTTGTCTCGGTTACAACTTCTAAAATAGTACCACCATTTACCAAGGAGGGAGTGGAGGAGATGTTTTCATAGAACTAAACTGCATGGCCTAACACTTAAAAGGTTTAAGAGTAAGTTTTTTTTTGTGACCAACAATGCTGTTAATTTAGATTATTTTGCATTAACCCTAGCCCCCTAGATCTTTTTGCCAGGCACCATCCTGAATCTTTTAAAATCCTGCAACCTGAGTATACCCCAAAAATAGCCTTCATCCAAAATCTTCCAAAATCCTCCAAAATTTTGCACTTATATGAAAACAAGTGGTGCCCACCTACAAAATCCTCCAAAATGCTTCTACCAGTACAATTATTGTGCGTGAAAGAGGATGGGAAGGGAGGAGGATGGCTCATATAATCATCTGATACAGTCATATTTAAGTAATAATAATCCTTGCCTTCAAAAAAGTAATGTGTGACCAATAGGGCCTATGTAGTGTACCAGAGCATGTATGTTGTTTTTTCTACTTTCGAGGACAACCTATTGTGCTTTCTTTTGTTCCTGTACTGTAACTTAACCCCATTAACTTAGCGTGCAGCCGTCTTTAGATGGCAAGCGCAAACAAAGGAAACCATCTTTTGAGGATTCTTTGTTTCGGCTCACACACTATTGTTCTCCATCGTACATGTAGTTCAATCCTCGATCGGTAAAACCAGAGCATACATAAGTGTACATTCATGTACATGTGTATAGGCACTACCACTGTGCAATTAGTACTAGCTGCTATTACATGCCCTCATAAGTACTGCAAATTGAGTACCAGTACAACCTTACCAGTAACTCTAAATATGTAAAATGCAGTGTATGTACACTCCACCAACCCACACACAAGTTCTCCAAAATCCTGTTTTGTTTAAACACCATTCATCCTGATTTCTCTGAAATCCTTCTTTCCATCATTTACATGTACCATTCATCCTGAATCTTGCAGAATCCTCATTGGTTCAATCACCGTTCATCCTGAATCCGCTGCCAAAATTATCCTTTCGTTCAATCACCGTTCATCCTTATTCCAGAGCTGCCAACTCTCCCATGATTCTGCAGAAAGTTTCCTTAAAATATACACATCTTTCTACGTTTTGATTTACCACTCCAAATGACTATGGAACTTTTTCTCTATTGTGCTGAATGTAAAATTGAAAATTCTCCCTGATGTTAGTTCAACTTCTGCCTGATTGCACGATTCCTCCAAAATTTTCCAAAACCAGCATGAGGATTTGGAGGAATTAGGACTGTTAGGTTAATAATGATGTGCTATTAGGCTTGATTATATCCCCTAGGCTAAGATCGTCGATATACTCCCACCTCTGACATGAAGTATTGGTGGATCAGAAAAGGTCTGTGTTGGGACTTTGGAAAGGGGTCCAGAACTATTCGGTGTGGGGCGGGCCTCTCAGGTTAGCAATAACAAGGTCAGGATTTGAGGTGGTATTCCATCTACCTGAAAGGAAGCTGTCTAGCTGTTTGGATAGAAAAGCAGAAGCAAACCAGCTGTTGATGACCAGTCCTCCAATGCACTGCCATTTGAATTAGTGGCCCTGCATCCCCAAGTGGTATTATGGCTGTTTAAAGTCAAAGAGCATCGAAAACAGGGAGTTGGGATGTCGGTGGCTTTTAAACATTCACAATAATAGTCCCCTCGAATTGGGTGGCTGTCTATTCCATATTGTGGTTAGGTGGAGGAAGTACCTAAAGGTGAACATTTAGCTGTGTTCCTGACAAAGGTGGCAATCCCATAGATGCTGCTTGCAGTATGTGCAGATGAGGTAAAACCAGGGATCTTCTGTCTTCTAGAGCTGTCCGAAATGTGTGTCTCTTGGAGGAGAAATTTAACTTTGTATATGCAGGAGATGTTCAATGACATTGACTTTGGCTTTTGTGCGGCCCTCAATATTCAACTGCAGGACAGAGATACATTGCCTTGTTTGTTATGGCCTTTTAACATCTTGAGGGCAATGTATTAGCTGCTGCCATCCCAACAAAAACTGTTCCAGAAAAGTGCTTATTTTCTGCAGTTATATACCACTAATTGTCATCATCTTTGGAAGTATCTTGGACCTGATCACTCAGGTTTGATTGAGAAATTTTACGATGCTGGTTATTTATTCCTGACTGTAAGTCTGGTAGATTTATTATGTCCCCCTGACCTTGTCCTGGAGCAACCGAGTGAGTAGGAGTGTTGCCACCAACTGCAACATGTCTGACCCAGGCTTTTCCCAAGGCTCCCAACATACCACATCTGTCTCTCTTGCACCTGGACACCATTCAACCAACTTTCTGCCCCTGAAACATACCGCTTGAAGAACTTGGAGGAGTCCTTTTTTGAGGTTGGCATGCTAGATGTCATGTAATTAATCATAAATCTCAATGTAAAGCAACACATGTCACCAATGTTCTACATGTTCCTCTATGGAACACACACTCTGTGTGCAATAAATCATTGCTTGTATGTGATTACGTACTCTCCAATGACATTGACATCATGTTCCTAACAGAAACATGGCTTGGTGTGGATGATCAGGTCAATGAAGTTACTCCAACTGGCTACACGTTCTTTAATATCCCTCATCTTGCAGATCGACACGGGACATTGCCACAGTCTGCCAGTCACAATTGAATTTTAGAACTATCCCTGTAATGTTTGACGTCAGCACGTTTGAATATTCAGTCATCTCAGACAGCAAGAGGAGCATTTACTATGTTATCATACACCGACCACCACCCTCTGACAAAAATCAGTTGAAGACATCCTCATTCCTGGTCAACTTTGACAATTGCTCGAGGTTGCAAATGTCCTCCCTGGAAAACTATTCATTTGTTGATGAATTTAATATCCACTTTGACTGCCCAGAAAAACAGGAAGTAGCCCATGTGTGATCATTGCTTTATGCTTATGGGCTTGTACAACGTGTCCAAACCAACTCAGACACACGGTCACACCCAAGACTGGCTCATCACAAGAAGTGATGAAGATGGACTGCTTACTTCATACAGTGTTGACATGAACGGCATATCTGACCATGGTGTCATCTCAGGCACGCTCCAAGCAAGCCCGAACTTTCAAAAATGTCGACATTATGCCGTACACCTAACTTCCGTAATATCAACCAAGAAGCACTGGCAGACGATCTGTCCACCCAACTTAAGGATGTTCACTATGATGGCCGCAATATTGACAAATTTGTCATTGATGCCCTTAATTCACACGCACCTTGGATAACCACAAAGAAACTCTGACACTGTAAGCCAAAGTTGTCCCTGTATAATGGCTCAGTAGACAACGCAAAACATGCACGCTGACAAGCAGAATGCAAATGGCGGAAGATAAATTCTACTGCCGATCACACTGCTTACAAACCCACCAAAAAGACAATGCGCGATGGACTCGTAAAGAGTGAATTCGTGTGGCGAATTCTAGCAAACGATGAGACAGAGGAATAGACACTGAACGTTAACGCAAAGAAAGCTTGTTCTGTGCTGCGGCCGGGGCACACTAAGTTTGGCGTGCTGTACACAACCACATCCGATGGATTGTGGGTAAATTTGTGTCAGAGGTCAATCACAGGACGCCGTCATTAGATTTTGGGAGGATATGCCCCGGGCAAACTTTACGTGGGGCCTGGACTTTCCACGAGCCCTGAATGCAACATTTGGACACACGGAAGATTACCACTGTGGAATGTTAAGTACCTTTTGACAATTTTAAGTCCAGTGTGAACATGGCTTAACAGGGTGAAACCTTAGCCCAGGTTGGACGACGCCTTCATTGCACTACGACTAACGTCCTGAAGTCAACACAGGGAGAACCATTTTTTAAAACATTTTTTCCAATATTTTTACCTTGTTGAAGAAGTCACTTTTGATGTTAAGTACCCTATTGTGTCCTGGTCTATGCAGCCGGGCGGGGGTCAGGAATTCCATATTTTATGCTAGGCGGCGTAAATTAGGAAAGTGTACTAAACCAAAGTTAAACTTGTACTTTGTGTAGATTCTTCTCAGCAATTTCTAGTGTACGTTACCAGTAATAACGTGTACATGGAGATCAACTTGTTGTGAAAGGAATGTACACGCACCTTGCGGAGGACGCCTGCGCCCCGTGCCGCGCCAGCCAGCACAGGGTGACACGCGCCCGAATTTATCGTATGCGTCCAGCCAGCTGAAACGTTCCTGCGTGTGGTGCAGGGCACATGGTGCGCGGGGCGTGGGCGCCCAGGCTTCCCCGGAGCGCGTACATATTACCCTTAACGTACACTAGAAAATGCCGAGAAGAGTCTACACAAAGTGCAAGTTTAACATTGATTTGGAGTATATTTTCCTGATTTACGTTGCCCAGCATAGAGTATGGAATTCCTGAATTAACCCCCCCCCCGGCTGCAAGGACCAGGACACAATAGGGTAGTAAACGTCAAAAGCGGCATCTCCAGCAAGAAAGAAATATTGGGAAAAACTTTATAAAATGGTTATCCCGACAGCGACAGTTTTATATTCTAATCAATCAACTTTCACCTAAGAAACATATCACGAATTTGCAAATACATGTACATCGACTCTGACACGTGTCACGCTGCAGTGAGAGCTTTAGTCTTGTCATGACTAGCATATTGTAACTCTCCCCTCAGTGGGATGAAACAATGTCAGGCTGCTTTATCATTCCCACTCAACCCAAACACTGTTATGCATCACCATTTCTTCAACAAATACACTGGTTACCTGTTCACAAACGCATCATCTACAAGACAGCAATGAATGTATACAAGGCATCAAATAAACATCCGAAGTACTGTACGTTACAGATGTGCTAGACCTCAGCACCCCTAACCATAGTGGCCTCTGCTCACAGCACCACTTAAAAGTACCTTGCACATTCAAACGTGCAAGTGACAAAGCTTTCTCTGTAGCTTGGCCTAGATGCTGGAATTCACTCCCTCTCAATATTCATCATTGCAAATCCATCCATCAGTTTAAGTGTGAACTAAAATCATATCTGTTTTCTGATTAAGTGAACTTCATTTAGGTATTCCTCACCATGTTTTGTTTTCTTGCTTTCTGGAGTAGCGCATTCCAACCTTAGGAAAAACACGCTTTATAAATGCACTTTATTGTAACTGTATTATCATTAAAATGCTGTTGGAATGAGTCATGTGAGATTGTAAAGTGATAATTTTTTTTAACGACAGATGTTCATAATTTGGAGAATGATGTGCATACATGTACACATACATGTAGCCCTAAAACATGCACTTCACTGACCACTTTTAGTTGGACAACTATGCAAGTATTATATTGGTGGTTGTAGGTGTCTGCAACAAGTGGTTTTAAGTCTCACCGGAGTCATCCATGAAAAGCATTTCTGAGGCGAAAAATTGTACTAAGCATCTAGTACAGATTAATGTCAAGATTGGAAGAATACAAGAAATAACATTTGCAAAAACATCCCAAACAAGTGTGTGATACCCTTGAAGGAATTCATCACTGGTACACATGAACATGGAAACCTTGCCTTGGTGATTTTTGTCAATGTTAAATTCATGATGGTGAAAACAACAGGAGAAATAAACAACCTATTAAAGCAGTTATAAATAGAAAAAGGAAGAAGTTTTGAGAATTAAAACTTCCTAAATTTCTTTCTTCAAACAGATGATATGAGGTGGATACTGAAGAAACTGGGAGCTGATATGGTTGAACTTGACCAGATTGACAAGGCAACAATAATATTGAAGGATCAATCGCCATTCTCTTCTCTTCCAAAAGGTTTGATAAACGTCAACTGCTATCAGTGGTGACGCCACAAGGGGGGGTAGTATTTTCCCTTTGCCCACTTTGCCTCCCCCTTCATTTTTCTTACGTGTACCATTTTCTGGAAATGAATTTTCTGGCAGATAAGACTTGAAGCTACATGTATCGGAGCTGCCAACTCTTCCGCATTTTGCAGAAGACTTCCGTTTTTTTACAGTAATCTTCCATCATTCCGCAAAATGGATGCAATCTTCCAAATTCGAAGCTATCTGGCTAAAAAAAAAAGACAGACTGAGTAAAAAACCGTCATTGTAAAAATTTGTTGGTGATAGTCGTGTTGTGTACCTTCAAGTATGCGGCACAGAGCTTTGAAACAAATGGTATACATGTATGGGACTGTCCAACCCACCGTACGTACGCACTCCGTATTCAGCATGCAAATGCATAGGCAGTCACTTAATAGCTCCGTACATGTAGTTCAGCACTGTGCACAAGTACGCCCGGTGCCACGTTCGCAGTGAGATCACACTAATTGTGGTAATATGGGATGTACATTCTTTGGAATAAAAATTCCTAACATTTTTGCTATTTAAAACAAAAGCAAGACATTGAATAGTTTTTTGGAATTCAAAATACTTGTTTAGTTAATATTCTTTGTTTCTACGTCCCATTACAATTTTATTTCCGTAAAGTATTCAAGAAACGACGTAAAACTCAAAACAGAGAGATAAATCACCCCTTACAAAATAAATAGTACAGACCAAGTCCAGAATGTCTACATCGTGTTGACTGCTAGCTTTTAGGTTTCGCTGAGAATTAAGGACTTCTTCCTTTATATGACAAAACCACTCATCAACTTTTGCCACAAAACAAGACTTTGGGGCCCTCCTGAAGACCCGGGCGGCCAGCGCTCGATGTGATCCTTTTTTGGGCAATCACCGGTCGGTCGAGAAATGCATGCCGCGGGCCAGCGCGTGGTACAGTACGGTTGCACTTTTTATTAGGCCATATCATGCTTGCGCTTGCGGTCCATCCGGCAGCAATTCCTGGTCATTTCTCAACTTCAATTTTCCATTGTTGACCCTAAATGGTATGAAAAATGGTTATAACCTGTGTTTTTCTTATAGCTTTGTTGTGGAGCATGTTTTTGCTAATATTTGTATTCTGTTTAGGCTTTCATTTTAACTCGGCATGGTTTGGTTTTAAAGTTGCGAAGACTATGCAGTGCTGAAACTCGAATTCAGTGTGTAGAATTGCCAAAGTTTGTTTATTTGATGATGTGCTGTTTGACAAAATTTGACAATTTCTCAGTATCACCTGTCCCTGTCTGGGAATCATTGGAACAACCTACAAATTATTTGAAGTCAACACTTGATGTTTTCAGCACAGGCAGAAGATACTAACATAGGCCTAGGTTTTGTTCTAAGTTATTTCACCACAGGTAGGCCCGATAATGAAATTTTTAAATGCAGTTAATGGCTTATATATTTTTGAAAAAAACTGCCAACCAAAAAAACTAAGTGCAAAGGGGCCAGAAATTGCATCTAGAATGCAAAAATTTCCAGAGCCCTTAAGCAGGCCCCGGACCCCAGGCCGAAAGGCTTCACGCTTGGCACGCGCTTGTAGTAGTAGTATTTGCATGCCAAATGCCCCCCTATAATTTTACCCTGGCTAGAAACCTGCCATTGTGTATTATACTTTTGTACTTCGCAAGACATACAGGTTTACTTTATGTTCTCTAAACAAAATGGGGTTGGGTAGCCTTGGCCGTGGCCTTTTCAATTGTCCAGAAATGCTAAAATCCAGGATCATCCTGGTGCGTTGTCCCCAGAACCCCATGACCCGCTAGAGCTTTGCTGGCTCTGCTCGCTACGCTGTGCAGGAATCTTCTGCATTTATAGATTGCAATGTTGGCAGCTCTGCATGTACATGTATGCATAGTGGAAAGTACTACATTAGGCAAGGCTTGAAGTTACACCATGTACAAGAAGGAAAATTCTCCTCTATGAGGGTGAGGTTCTGAGAAGAACTGGTGGTGAACACTTGATGTGTTCAAGACTAATTGAATAAAACACTTGAGTTAAAATAACGTTGGTTTTGAATTTTCTGGTGGTGTTTGCCCCCTGAAGATACCCTATGACTTAAAAAAGAAAAACTAGAGGAATGTGGTTGTAATGTAAACAACCGTACAGCTGTTCCCAATTTTTTTTTATTGTCTTCAATGATGGTCAATCACTAACCAAAGTTTGAAATTGATTGCACTGAACGTAATTCTGAAAGTGGTCTGTGCAATAAAAGCAAACCTTTCACTCTTCATAAACTATGAACCCCATCAGCTGCAAAATTTATGCATGATGTATGATAATGTGGTAAAAAAATACAATTCAATTGGCTATGAAGTAGAGGTCACATGAGGTCAACCTATCAAATGTCATTTATAACACATTCCTGACTATGTACATATAAAATTTGAGTTCAATCGGTCCAATAGTTTACTAGTTATTAGACTGTAAAGAATGAATATTTATGACGTCATAACTGGAAAACAATAAAGTACAATTTGATAATAATGCATTATTAATATCTGTCCATAGACCTTTTGAATGTTTTAAATTTTCAACCCGATTGGAACTATAGTTCATGAGATATGATGATTTTTCTTTTAAAATACAACTTCCGGTCAAACCGTGAGTAAACGTCACATGAGGTCAAGGTGTCAATTTTCATCTATAACACATCCCTGACTATGTACATATGAAATTTGAGTTCAGTGGGTTCAATAGTTTACTAGTTATTAGACTGTAAAGAATTGATATTGATGACGTTATAACTGGCAAACAATAAAGTACAATTTCATAATAACGCATTGTAAATATCTGTCCATAGACCTTTTGAATACTGTACATTATCAACCCAATCGAAACTGTAGTTTATGAGATATGACGATTTTTCTTTTAAATTACAACTTCCGGTAAAACCGGAAGTAGAGGTCACATGAGGTCAAGGTGTCAAATTTCATCTATAACACATCCCTGACTGTATACATACAAAATTTGAAATCAATCGGTTCAGTAGTTCAACAGTTATTAGAGTTTAAAGAATGAACTTTTGAATTGAGGTCACGTGACCCCTGATGACGTCACGATTACAAAAAGTTTCAGCATACATCTTCAGATGATGGTTAAAGAGTATGCGAAGTTTGAAATTGATCGGATGTAAAATAATTGCCAAAATGCCTTGTAGAATGAAAAAGTGGAAAAAGAAAAAGGATAAAAAGGGGAAAAAAACTTTTAGAAAAGCAAGAGCTGTTCTCAATTGGAATTGGGATCAGCTAAACCCCGAAAAATTCCTTTGGCAAATGGTTGGCACGATGCCTCACAAGTTATGATGTGTGAGGTCTTGTAACTCGAGTTACGACGTGCCGCAATGCTTCCTAAACTCAGATGCTGAATCCACTGAGTTGAGTTCAGCCTGAGATGAGAGGCTGTTGTGTGAAATATGTAAATCATCTTAAATAAGTTTTCATTTTCCAAGAAACATTGCTGCCAGCGTGTCATCAAAATGGAAAATAGTGCCTTTGATTTCTTTGCAGATGTGAAGAAAGTAGTCAGACACAATACAGTCATATCAGCTTTCTGGTTGATAGATTCATTGTCGCACTACAAAAAGGAACCACTAGATACCTATGAAATAATTGAAGGTAAGTTGATGAAATGTTTCTATTTCCCTTAGAATGAGATATAAATATTTCAGTAATTACTTGGTTCTGAACATGAATTGACATTAATCATGCAAAAGAAACCGTTTGTGTTTTGAGGGCTTTACAAAATTTTCAGAATGTGCCTCCATGTGCCACAAGAAACTGAAGTCTACTTCACTCAACTTATCTGTAGAGCAGTCTACATATGCATAATTTTTTAGACCCACAGGTATTTTTGCCAAGAGTTTTGACACAAGAGCCCTCTCTGTGTTGTACTCATAGTGCCCCACGGTGTGCATGCCTCGTGAGCATCCTGTTTTCTCTTAGGGGCAGGTTGGGTTGGATATGTATAAAATAAGCTTCGTATTTCGCGATGCTTTTCTGCCTGTTTTTGCTGAAAATAATTTCAAGTAAGAGAATTGCTTGTAAAAAAAATTATGTAGAGTTGTCCTCATCTCCATGTTCTTCTATGTCATCATTTGGATAAATGGAAGGTTTTGGGGAGAACTGGTCTGTCAATAACTGGTGAGAGCGGCTCTCTTCCAGGACAGACCAAGTTCCCGGGAGACTCAGTTGGGCCAATGGTGGCTCATCTACAGTCTATGTAACAGCACCCGCAACCACTGCCGGCTGTGGGAGTTGGCAGTTCTGCCGGCTGGTCAGGGTCACCTCGGTCTCCTTCGCTGCCCGATCCTGAAGGAACACCCATTTTGCTCCCCCTTGCAAGGTTGCCTATATGGGCCCAAAACAGAATTCCTGTGCCAGGGGTAAGCCTAATGAGGATGCTTAGGCCAAGCATGGTTCGAAATCTATCACCACGGCTCTCAGTGTACCCTCCCCAAAATCAGGTCAGCCCGAGCCACCCATGTCTGCCCGGCGTAGTGCTGAGCACCAATGACAGCTGGGACGGACTATTGGGCAGGCTGCTGGACAGTTCAGCGCTGCCCACAGGGCGTAAGACGGACCTGCCAACCAGTACGATTTTATCGTATTTATTCCAAGTTTTAAAATGTTTAGAAAAAAACTGGATTAGTACAGTTTAGAAAAACTGGATTTCTGAAATTTTGGGGCAAAAGAAAATTGGCTCTTTATAAATTTTCAAAAACTGAACAAACGAATTGTCCATTTATTACTAGCCTTGCTCCGCAATTCTTACATGTTTGTTACCTGGGCTCCATCTGACGCTTCAGCTTCTCACACATGTCGCATAAATGAAAGTGTATGGGAATTTGACTCAGGCTACCAGTGATAGCATGGGCCATGTGTAATCCAGTGCAGCTAGCCAGTGCCATCACTGTGTATTCACTTGTTCCCACCACTGTGATTGAGTCAATGTTGTTGTTTTTTTGCAAAATATTTGGCCATGGCACATGGTTTTGTTGCATGTCCGCTACACGCATACCGCACAATGCTTACTCTGATACAACAGAGGAACTGTGAGGTGTGTGCGGCACGATTAACGGCCAGTGCCGACAGTGCGGCTGTGGTGATTGGTGCCCATTGCTTTGGATCAGCGTTATGAATCGCGAATGTTGAGCATGTGGCTGCGTGGATGATCTTCACAAATTTTTCAATTATCAAAGTTTACTTTTGAGAATTATGAATAATTGTTTTGTTGGTGAGGAAAAATTATCCTGACCGACTGACCATATTGTATGTTTCTTTACCATGTTTACAGAGTCTATGACAGTGAAAACAAGTTTTCATCAAAGTCAGAAATGCAGTTACAGATTTATTTCCATTTACTTAGTTTCATGTAGGCCTACCTTTATAGAATGAGTGACGAGGATTCAATGAAGTTGCCAATTATTGGCTTTTTTTGCAATCGAAAAAGACGTTCTGGAGCCAACAGGAGAACAGTGGAAATTCCTGCCTATGCACCAGATAGGAGATTGTGCATAGTTACCTACCTGAAAGAGTATCTGAAGCGAACAGAGATAGGCAAGGCAAGGCGTATGATCACATACAAGAAACCATACCAGCCAATTTCTAGAGATACTTTATCCATGTGGACAAGGCTGGTGTTGGAAATTGCAGGAGTAGATACAAAAGTATTTACTTCGCACTGAATAGGTCTGCAGTAGTAAGTACAGTATGCAAGAACATGCCAGTGCAGGCTAGTTTGGCATGGTCAGTGCTCCAGCGGTCTTCACCCGTATGATACATTCTTTGCTAGAGGGTGTTGACAATGTGGTGAATTACATAGATGATTGTTTGATATTTTCAAACACATTTGAAAACCACTTGAAGGATGTAAAGGCAGTTTTAGAACGCTTATGTGAAGTTGGTTAAGTGTCAGGCCAAGTAAATGCTTTATCGCATACACTTCACTGGAAATTTTAGGCCATGTTGTCGGAGAGGGGGTGTTGAAGCCAATGTCCGCCAGACTTGAGGCAATCACGAAAGCTCAGAGACCAAAAACCAAAAAAAAAGTACGGTCATTTCTGGGTTTGGTTGGATATTACTCCAGATTTATTCCAAATCTCTCTGCAGTTGCAGCCCCAATATCTGACTTGGTAAAGAAGGGCAAGTCTAATCAAGTAGAATGGAGTGAAGCACAATAACATGCTTTTGTAATACTTAAGTCAAGATTGGTAACATCACCAATTTTGCTTTTGCCTAATCCTGAGTTGACCTATATTGAGGACTGACGCTTCTGCTAAGGGAATTGGGGCAGTGTTGATGCAAGAAAGTGACGGGCAAAATGGTCCAGTACTTAGTGAGAGACAGTGGGGAGTTAGGGTTAAAGAAGATTGTCCTTGAACTTGAATATTCCCCGTAATCCCATCTTCTTTATGGCCCTTTGTGTCTATCTTTCTCTCTCTGAGGAAACCTTCAGTTGTTTGACATCATGTTCCTCTTTATGGCAGCACAATATAATTATGGCGACTCAGTTTGGACTGAAAAATCGCACAGGAAACACATAGCAACAACTGACTTTCCTCAACTAAGTTGTGTTGTACCACGGCAGTACTACAACTAGTATCTCTCAATACTTTTACTATGTGATCTCCAACAATTCCTTGGACCATTGGCATTTTCCCTTCAAATGAACATGCTGCACTTACAATAGGAAGTTCACCTCCACATGCTTATTTAACATATTCATATGGATTAACGTGTACACATGCACCTAATGGTTGACTTACGGTACCTCCATCATCTGCCTTGAAATTAAAGGCTAGAAACACCGAACTCACACTTGCTAGGATTGACAACGACACCATATTCGCGAAGGCGGTCAAAAAGTAGCTTTAGATGTTGCTCATGTTGTTCTGCATCATCACTCGCTATCAGCAAATCATCGATATATGCGTAAACGAAGTCAAGACCATGCAAGACTTGGTCGATGAATCTCTGGAAAGTTTGGGCTGCATTCCTTAAACCAAAGGGCATCCGAATATATTCAAAGAGGCCAAAAGGTGTCATGATGGCTATTTTAGGAATGTCTTCCGGTGCAATAGGTATTTGATGGTAAGCTTTAACTAGATCAATTTTGCTAAAGATAGTCTTACCATGTAAATTCGTCGAAAAATCATGGATATGCGGAATAGGGTATCTATCAGGTACTGTGATATTGTTTAAGGCACGATAATCGCCACAAGGCCTCCAATCACCTGATTTTTTGGGCGCCATGTGCAATGGTGAAGACCACTGACTATCTGATGGGCGAATAATTCCTAATTCCAACATATGGTCAAATTCGGCTTTTGCA